TTGAACTCTGTAATGTTCTAATCACTCATGACGGTTAAAGTCGTATGCATATATTTCCTTAAAAATAAACCGTCAAGAAAAATTATATTTTGAATGAAGTCTATATGGGATTATGCTAAGAAATATAAGGCATGTACTCGTACATAAAACCCATAAGAATATTGAAGATTGACAAATAAAAATTTTTTCGAGATTGAACTTACGTTGCTACGAAATTGTTGTAACTACTCATAATATTCAATTCAGAACGATTCCACTTAAGCATTTATAACTGGCGGCTTACTTAGACTGACTGTATTTTACAAAGAACAAATCAAATTCGAAAAATCATCTCTGCCAACTAATAGTGTTACAATTGTAATTTACTTAATTTGCTTTTGAGCAAGTTGCCAACAGTTTTGACTGCACTTTACTGGCTATAACTGACAGACCTTATTTTTAAGAAAAGTCTCATTGCACTTCTTCAAATATGGTAAACGTGATGTCAGAGTAACTGTTCGCATGAATTGTCTTTTTTGATTTTGCGAATTGAAAAAATATGGACGCAAGTTATTTGTTTCCGCCCAGGTTCGAACTGAGGACCTTGTGCGTGTGAAGCACACGTGATAACCGCTACACTACGGAAACCGATACTGTACACCGTTATTGGTTTCTTGGGGTTTCGAAAGCAAAATCTTGCAGTGCATCTATATTTTCAAAAAAAGCTTCCACTACATTAAAACAAAAGTTATTTAAAACCAAGTTTATTCTTTCTAGTTGCTTAAGCTAATTATTAAACTTTTCACAACCGCAATGTCTATACAGCATTAGCTGTGCTAATTAACCAAAAAAAAGTTATAAATATCTCGTTTGAAGCTTAAAAAAATATTGTATTTTTATTTTGTATATAAATAAGTATTTGTACTGAAACTCTATGCTATATATTCAGTTTGTTAATATTAATTTAACCAAATTTTATCTAAAAAAATTGAAAAACAAAATAATACTCGTTTGTTTCCGCCCAGGTTCGAACTGAGGACCTTGTGCGTGTGAAGCACACGTGATAACCACTACACTACGGAAACTTATTAACCACGCCCTATATACCGATATATACGACTATTGCCTATAAGAAAAACTAACCTCAAAGTAACAGCTATCTGAATATTCTTAAGACAGTTATGTAATTAAATTTACCTTGCCTATTTATAGCATAGAAATGCGTAATGCCCCAGCTTTACTTAAATACACGGGTCCAATTGTTTGTATTTTGCACAGTCATTCGTTCCGTTACTGAAATTTTAATTGTAAGTAATAAAATTGTTTCTGTCGCAAGTTGCAACAACCGATCTTTTTCTATTGTGACACTACTCATATAATACAATAGACCTTAATATTATGGGTCAGCTGATGGCTATGTGTGTGAAAGTCCGCTATTTGGAAAGTAAATGATAAGAGTTTCCGTAGTGTAGTGGTTATCACGTGTGCTTCACACGCACAAGGTCCTCAGTTCGAACCTGGGCGGAAACAAAACTTATGGAAGGTATATATTTTACTAAAATACTTTGCTAATTTTTGTTTTAATTTTTCATTGTTGGATATTTGATTAAAATTGAAATTATTCAGCATTCCGTGAAAAGTAATATCAAAGACTGTAACTCATTACATTACAAAGAAAAGTTGGGGGAGAAGTTTAATAAAACGATTAGCAAACTGTCAACATGTTTGTATATACTTATAGATACCTAAGATATTAAAAAAGGTAGTCACGTCAGTGTCAATTGTATTTCTACATTTTTTCGATGATTCAATACGCTTTTCTATGTATTTTAATAAATTTATGGACACGAAAAATAAGGAAGTTTTCTGAAAAGGGCAAGAGCTGTTATAATTATGAAACAAATAAAAAATATAAAAAAAAGAAATTGGTTTGTTTCCGCCCAGGTTCGAACTGAGGACCTTGTGCGTGTGAAGCACACGTGATAACCACTACACTACGGAAACCACATTATCGACTTCAACACTAACGGCACTACATTAACCGTTTAATAGCTGAACACTTTGTTAACATGCGAAAGTACATAAGTGAAGATTTATTACAGGTTCTTTACTTAAAGAATCTCACAATAAACAGAAATGAATTAATAAAATATTAAATGGTTGTATATCTACCTTCATACATAATACAATCAGGATTGCGAATTTTTTTAATTCAATAATTTGGAATTAAATGTTAAATTTTTATTTTTTAATCCCGATGTTAGGGTTAAAAATTAGATTTTAATTCTTCATCCCGAAGTAGGGATTAAAAATAATATTTTTATTTTTAAATTCAAGATGTTTTGGATTAAAATTTTTAAATTTAAAATTTACCTTTTTGAATTGAATGAATTCGAAAAAATGTTAATTTTAAAACAAATTCTCTTTTTAATTCTTAATTATATGATTAAGATTGAACTTTTTCTTTTTTATTTTTCAAGCCGGTAGTTGGGAATAAAAATAAATTTTTATTCCGGTTTTTGCGATTAAAATTTTTATTTTTTTATTTTTTAATCCATTATGCGGTATTGAACGTTTTTTTTTAAATTTATTTTTTAATCCCGAATTCGTAATTATTTGAAACCCTGACCACAACACACATTCGGGTATATCAATGCTAACAATTAGATACCGTAATTGCTAATCGTAATCAATGCCAAGTGCTTTTAGCATATGCTTTATTTACATACATATACATATGGTGTGTAAGGTGTATATGTTTAATTTCACACGTCTTAATGATAATGAAATTCGCTTAGTAATGCTCAACAGTTATAAATACTTTAAGCATAGGCCAAACCCTGTAGAGTACCATCAAAAATACCTTTAAATAAAGTTAGTTTATATACTAAATATGTAAATGTGAATATTGTTTTAAATATACGTACATACATATTTATATGCCATATGCATACCCAGTTGGTATTAAATGAATATGAATTGCATGATTTATTGGCGCAGACGGTACGAAACTAAGAGTTTAAGTTCTAAAAAAGCTCTTAATTGTATAACATAACAAAAATTGTTATTATAAAATATATGTTATTATAAAAATGCTAAATAAAAAACAAAGTTTCTTTGAATTTAGCGAATAAAAACAACACAAGTAAGAAAAAAAGATATTTTATGATTTTGAAGCATTATTTTGTAAAATAGTATAAATAATTTTAAAAATGTTTTAAGATTGCACTCTGACCTTGAAAAACTTTTGAGCTAGTAAACTTAGCAAAAATTATATTAACTTATTTTTGATAGTTCGTTAAATTCACTACAAGAATAAATTTTTATTTTCACTACACAATAATATTTCTAAGTGCCTTAAGCATCCGACCGAAATAAGACAATATTTTGGTGCTATTTATATGGGAAATCAAAAATTACAATGTACTGTACTGTAATATTAATGTTAAGAGCTCAAATTTAACCAGATCTTTTTTTGTTATTTCGGACGATATTTTTAAGGTATCTTAGGAAAAACAAATAAAATTTTTTATTTACCTACAATATGTTTTGGCCCACCCTAATATATAAATTTTTGGCCTTTAATTATGCTAACATCCCCTCGCTATATTTAAAAAAAATATGAATTATTTCAGTAACTAACTTATATATAATATGTACATATTTCAAAAGTGTTGGTTAAATTTTCCTACAGAGTGCACTTGAGCATTTAATAAGAATTTTAATTGTCTCCAATTTGTGAGTAAAACGAGTTCATGTATCAAATAATTTCACAACAATTGTACATACAAGTATATCTACACACTCACGCACAGAATACATGCACATAAGCGGTAAAATAGTTTTAAATTTGTTTGATAAAATAATTTGGTATACACCCTACAAGAACAGCAACAGTCATCTGACCGGTAATATGACAGTCACAGCTGAAAAAATGTTGTCACCGCGTAGAAAAAGGTTTCTATCATTGAGAGTCTTGTGCAAAAACTGATGTAAACAAACGTATGTGCGTGATTTTGCAACTCTCTTTGAATATTCGTAATTGATTCACAACATATCTATACTGCTCACCATCACGCCTTTTCCTGAGTCATTGCTGATCATAAATCCATCAAAGCTGAAAATTATCAAAGCTGCAATTTGTCAGTTATGACTGTAAATCTATCACATGTGTAAAATTATTTTGCGCAGTATATTATACAATTTTTATTTCTTGAATAAATTCAAAACTTTTAATTAAAATTACTGACATAACAAATGTGAGTATACCCATCAGCAGTTTCTTGTAGGGCAGTTTCCGATTAACAACAACAACATACGAAAGAATGCGATTTGTTGAGTGTAAAGAGCGAAACGATTCTATTGTTAAAAGCGCATCATTAGATCGCATTGAAAAGCACAGTGCAGTTACATTCTTTATATGTGTATATATGCAAATTTTTGCTATACTCAATGATGCAAAAATATTGATAAAGCGTTGGCGCTCTCTTATACGTAAATGGTTGACACAGTGCTGCCATATTTATAAAACGTATAATCCATCAATGAGGTGTGGAAAAATGTCGGCAAAGTTACTAATGTCAGTTTGTTTGGAGAAGTCATGCCGATTTTGCTAAAGAACTGAAACCGATGTCTGTTGGCACCGTTCTTCATAGTTGCATTATTTTTAGACTAACCTTGGTAAAACCATATCGGCCTAAACTTTATATTAGATACCTTTAAAAATTATTAACAAACATTATTAAAAAATAGAAGTAAGACGAGCGCTCAAATCCTATGTTGTATGGTTCTCTAGTGCTAAAAAAAAGTGCCTTTCTTTGCCTTTTGTCTCAATGCGTTTCTTCTACAAATACTTAAATGTAAGTAATTGAAGTTATAAATTTAAAAAATTGTTTAGCTTTTACAGAATCAAATAATATTACTACTAGCAATGCAAGAGATATCGATTAGATATTTTCAAAAATTTCGCAAAATAATTCACCAAATGTAGTTAACAAGTGGCAGCACATATGTATGGTATCATCATTCTCTGAGCATAATTGTCTGATAAAGAGCGTTGTTGTACATTATTTTAGTAGAAATTATTTAGGCGTTGGTTGACCTTGATCAATAATAAGCAACTTTTTCCAAAGACCTTAGAGCCTCTGCGTATGCGTATTCAGTAATTGTGAGACATTTAGCGCGTTCACAATTTCGAATAGTACCGGCGAACTATACAGTGCTTCAAATTTATAAAATAAAATTTAAACAATATGACTAACAAATTGGATGTAATCATATTCGGTGCAACCGGCTTCACCGGAAAAATTGTGGTCGAAGAGGCGGTGGAAGTGTTGCAAGGACTCACGTGGGGAATTGCGGGCCGGAATTTGGTAAAACAAAACACATCGACAGCGATATCAAAGTAATTTCAATACTAAACGGTAATAATCACTTTACAGAGCAAATTGGAGAACGTGCTGAGTACGGTCGGCAAAAAAATTGACAAGGATCTCTCGCAAGTACCAGTCATTTTGGCGGATGTTGAAGATGAAAAGTCCATTAAAGAGATGACAAACAAGTGCAAGGTGATTATAAGTGGTTTAATCATAATAACTATAAAGTTAGGTGTTGATCACAAAAACTGCTGTGGTTGTTGTTATACCAATCTTTTAAAGTAGTGCTCACAAATTAGGCAGTGTAAATATTGTTAAAGTACCCATATCGCTCTAACTTAAAATTATTATTATATTATTCTATCTTATAAGGTCGTTGTGAACTGCTGTGGTCCGTATCGTTTTTATGGTGAAATAGTGGTGAAGGCATGTATTGTAGCTGGCACGCATCACGTGGATCTTAGTGGTGAGGCACAGTTTATCGAAGGCATGATCGTAAAATATCATGATTTAGCTAAAGAAAAACACGTTTATGTTATTTCGGCCTGTGGATTTGATAGTATACCCGCAGAAATGGGTGTCGCATTTGCAGAACGCAATTTTCCAGGTACATACATACATACATATTAAACAAACTTATATACATACATACGTACATTTTCCATTCATGTACAATTGCTTTTGAATAACCCATTTTAGGCACTGTGAACGCCATCGAATCCTACTGGGAGAATACCGTCGTTCTCAAAGATAAAAATTGTAAGACTTTATTACATAGCGGTACTTGGGAGAGCGTTATTCATGTTTTAAGTCATGTCGACGAACTTATTGCACTCAGAGGGCAATTGACGCCCAAAGATTTACCCCGTTTGGAACCGGAATTGAAAGTGCGGTAAGAAGATCACAATACTACATTAGCATATGGAAATCTTGGATTATGATAATAATATTAATAGCTATTTTGTCATTTTTCTTTACACAGCACTTACCCACACAGGGTGCCTTCGCTAAAAAGTTACTTTGTACCCATTCATTCTGGCGATCGAGACCTTGTTGTTCAGACACAAAATTTTATGTTTGAGAACGAGAAAAAGCGCCCCATACAATACGAGAATTATATTGGTTATAAGTAAGTTTTGCCGCTTAATATTTAAGAAATTATATCAAATTTAAAGCTTCGTTTTTTTTCATGTAGATCACTATTTTACGCCGTCTTTGTGCCCTGGTTGATATCATTAATCAAAATTCTTGCTCAATTCAGTTTGACACGCAATGTGCTAATGATGTTTCCGCAAATTTTTACTTTGGGTATTTTAACGAAAGCGGGACCCACTGAGGACAATATGGAGGGACACTCCTTTGAAATGGTGTTCAAGACGACAGGCTGGACCAAAGATCAAGCGTTGAATGAGCAACCTAAACAGCAATTATGGACACGCGTTTCTGCGCGCAATCCCTTCTACGCCATGACTGCTGTGGCAATATTGGCCTCGGCAAAGATTATTTTACAGGAGAAAGACAAGCTGCCGGGAAGGTATGGTATCATTGATATTCATTTTTTTTCTATTAAACGATGATTATTTATTTATTTATTATTATTATTTGAATATAATACTTAACTTTTAAAACAAAACAAAATTATTTTAGTGGCGGCGTAATTTCACCTGGTTATGCATTCCCCAAAACAAGTCTAATCGAGGACTTACAGAAGTACAAACATGGCATAAAATTCGAGGTACTGAAACTGGAGCAGTGAGCAATAAAAATTACACGCAAATGCTCATAAGCAAATCTAGGATTTTTTCTACTATTAAAGTATCCATTTTGCTACATACATACATATAACATATACATAAGTACATATTACTTGGACTATTTATATGAGTAAATAAACCTTTTTTCATAAAATATTTGAATGCAGCTTTATTGTTATTAAAAACATGGACTCGCCTACTTAGTGAATGAGAGAATGATAGAGTGAGCGCGTAGACAAATTATGTAATTAACTTAATATGAGCAGCTTTGAAGCTAATTACTATATACTTACGAGGGTAACTGACAGTTGTATTACACTCGGATAACATTAAATGAGTGTTAAATATTTAGCAAATAAAAATATAAATCTAGCTATTAATCAAGATGAATCATTAATATGAAAAAGTAATAAGAAAAGAAAATATAAGTAAAAGAAACACATAAAGTGTCGGAAAATTATATAAAATTAGTTAAAGCAGGCGCGTTAAATATTTTATTCATTCATCTGAATATTTTCTGTTAACATTGATTTAATTTTGAGCCCACCCTCGTAGCTGTTATATAAACTGCATTGTAATGCAGTTTTAAACTAAAGTTAAATGACCTTGCTAACACCAAAACAAGTAGTCATTCAACAACAAACCGATGAGAATACAAAGTTTAGTCGCTTGACAGCTTTCTAGGCAACAGCAGATCTCGTGCAACAAATGCTGAAAATGTCTGTGAAATTAGATGCAATTATTTTCGGCGCAACCGGATTCACTGGTCAAATTGTGGTCGAAAAGGCGCCAGAGGAACTGAAGGGTCTCACTTGGGGCGTAGCGGGTCGTAATAAGGTGAGTTCCACAAACTGATGACTCAATAAATTCAAGTTAACGTATGCTACGTACGTCTGTATGTATGTATATAGAGCAAGCTGGAGAATGTGCTGAGCACTGCAGGTCAGAAAATTGCCAAAGATCTCAGCGCGGTGCCAATCATATTGGCCGATGTGGGAGATCGCACATCGATCGTGGCAATGGCAGAAAAATGCAAGGTTGATACAAACTTGAAGCATACAAAATTTGACCAATTTACAATTATGATTTTATCAAAGGTCGTTATCAATTGTTGTGGCCCATATCGTTTTTACGGCGAAATGGTTGTGAAGGCCTGCATTGAAGCCGGTACTCATCATGTGGATATTAGCGGTGAGCCGCAATATATCGAAGGCATGCGTTTGAAGTATCATTATTTGGCTCAAAAAAATCACACTTATATAATATCTACTTGCGGCTTTGATTCTATACCTGCTGAAATGGGTGTATTGCATGCAGAGAAAAATTTCTCAGGTTTAAACTTTCTATTTTTTTTAAATTTTCATTGTTTATTCTATGAAAAATCGCCCCTCTCATTCTCACCTGTTTCCTGTGCTTATCCATATAATTACTCACCAATACTTAGGTACTGTGAACACATGCGAAATGTTTTGGGAGAACATACTCGATTATCGCGACAAAAACTCTAAAGCTGTGCTACATGCCGGCACTTGGGAGAGCGCCATTCATGCATTTGCTAATTACGGTGAATTAAAAAGATTGCGACGTTTACTAGAGATGGAGAAGTTGCCAGATTTACGGCCAAAGCTCAAATATTCGTAAGTAGACTTCCATTTCAGTTCACATTTACTAGCGAGTAATTCTCAATTTCAGTATATAATGTTAATAACTTTTCTTCTCTCACTGGCTCACATGCCTCACATTGAGTCTTTTAAATAAGATAAAATAATTTTCAAATTCATACAGTGTTGGACAAAATAATAGCAAATTATGTTTGCAGAAACTGTTTTTTTTTGTAACTAATAATTTGTCCGATTAATTCTGTAAAAACATAAAAAATTTATTGCATTCTTTAATTTGGATTTTTTTAACATAAATATATCTATTCAAGCCCTATTTACATTTTTGACATGCGTGACTAAAAAATAAAAAAAGTTAAAAAAAGTAAAATATATTATTGGAGATGCGGGGCATCGATCCCCGTACCTCTCACATGCTAAGCGAGCGCTCTACCATCTGAGCTACATCCCCTCACATTAAAATTTTGCCAATATTGTGATTAAAATTGCGATTACTGTGATATTCCCTATAATATGATTTTACAATTTTTAATTTTTAACAATTTTTTAGCTCAAGAGATAGAGAGTGAGAGATAGAGAGAGTGAGAGAGAGAAAATACTTCCCCTGCTTTCTCTTAGGACTGAAATTTAATATAAATAGTCATATCCTTTTTCGACAGTTTACTTTTAATATACAATAATGCTTTTAGTTTTTGAAACTTTCTCTATATATATTTTCTCTTAAATTGCTCCAATTTGAATATACGAGTATATATAAACCCAAAACTCATTTTTCTTACAGTCCTTTTGTGCGCAAAGTTCAATTTCTAGATCGATATTTCTTCCCCATACACTCCGGGGATCGTGATATCGTAATGAATACTCAGCGTCTGCGTTATTTGAATGAAAAGAAACGCCCAATACAGTTCGAAAATTATATTGGCTTCCGGTGAGTTACCCGTGCTTATTTTTTACTCACTTTTTACGATTGTATGTGCTTACTCCTCCAGCTCCCTATGGACCACCATTTTCACACAAATTATAGTATTATTCACCGTTATAATGGCGCAAATTCCCGGTTTACGTAAAATTTTAATAAAAAATCCGAAATTCTTCACCAGAGGACTTTTATCACACGAAGGACCTGTAGAGGCAAATCGAGCTACACAACGCTTTCAAATGATATTCCGCACCAGAGGATGGACCGAACATCAGCCATTGACTGAGGAGCCGAAACAAGAGCTTTTAACGCGACTCACAAGCCTCGATCCGTTTTATGGCATGACATGTTTGTCGGTTTTAGCTACAGCGAAAATAATACTCAAGGAGCATGATAAAATGCCAAATGAGTAAGTGTTTGTTGAATGAAATTACTGCAATTATAAATTTTGAATAAAAATAAATTGAATTTCATCCATAGCGGTGGTGTCTTTCCGCCTGGTTACGCCTTTGCTAATACCAGCCTCATCGAAGAATTGGCTCGTCAGAAGAATGGCTTGAAATTTGAAGTATTAAAGTTGGAGCAACAATGATTTTATCACAAATATATATATTTGCACTTAGCTTGGGTTTGGGAAGTAAGTTATATACCATATATTTTGTAATATTTTGAAATGTTTTTGAAATGTTTTTGAAACGTTTTTGCAATAAAATACTCTAATAAAAATAGTATATTTTCCATAATCTATTATTCAAATTAAACGTTGTTTGCACTGCAATTATAACGCTGTCAGGGTCTGGCGCCAACGTCTATAAATCTTGTAACGGTGTGACTATTTAGACAACTTACACCACCTCTCGGCTTAGCGATAATTTACATGAATTAAAATGTACAAGAACACACATACAAATTCATATTCATTACATTTGATTGGCATTACTACACTTCTAATGGCTAATCTTTTACCCTTCAGCCGGCCATCGCCAATTAGCGATATTGCCCAGCGGCCACTTGTCACAATGCCAAATGGCAGCATTGATTTATTCCAGCTGATTGGCGATAGAATATTTGCGCCGCCGCCTGGAACTCAGCTCAACACACACACATACATGATCACGCATGGGCGCTGGCTGTAATTCGCTTGCCATTTGTACATATATTGCTTTGAAATATGCGACGATCCCAACCTGGCCCCATGGTCGATCCGTATTGGGTTATCTATAGCGTTGACACATTGCCACTGTTAGCTGAGTCCACAGCACAACTGCTATGCGGTTAGACATACATACATATATGCTTTTGGGTTTACATTTTATCTTGAGCGCTTTTCAGCTAAATAATTTGCTTTTTAATTAAGTATGAATGATTGTTTGAGGCTGAAAGTGTCGGAAATTTATTCACCGTTTGTTTGTATGCAATTTGATAAATCAGTTTATTGAAATCTGCAACAATTATTTATTGACTCTAATAATTAAAATTAACACTTTTTCAATATTGTAGAATATCATTGACTTCTTTGTTAAAAAAACAAGCAATTCTAGATATTTTAGAAAAGTTTTAGGCGGAAAAGCCTAGAACAGACTTAACTCGATACTCCGAATTATTTTTGTGTGCTTAAATCTTAAAGGCACTTGATTTCTTTGCGCAGCTTTAACAATTTCAAAAGAGAAATTTCACTAATATTTTATTGAAATTTAATGGCATGGTTAAGTAGTGCGCTTTCGTTGACTTTTCTCTTTGCTTTTCCATATACCATACATACATTTGTATGGATGTATATGTATATATGTATAAATCATTTGTAAGATATTCTCACATATTTCCTCTTACTTGCGAAATTATATTTCCAGTGTTTTTTTTCATATTTTTAAACAGCTACAAATGATTTATGAAAGATTTTCTTTAACTCATTTCGTTCGAAAGCTTTTAATTTTGGCGAACCACCACTTATAACGTACGAAAAACGAAAACATGCTCACACTAATATGTCACTAACCAACTTGAGTAAATATATATAGACATGTGGTCTGTAGGTATATGTAATATTTTGAAGGTGAAATATAAAATGTGTCGATAACGCAGTATGCAAAATAGTTTGCAAGAAGTTTTGTCGGTTATAATGTGTTCGGTGAGATAATTGGGGATGTAGCTCAGATGGTAGAGCGCTCGCTTAGCATGTGAGAGGTACGGGGATCGATGCCCCGCATCTCCATATATCATATTTTAAAAATATGGTAATTATGCAACAATGTTTTCGTACTCTTGTATTTGCATTAACAGTAATGCAAAACCTACTTGCTGGTTTAATAAACAGTTTATGTATTATTTGGTTGATATGGTTTCTAAGACTTTCCCGAAATTTCGAGATCTATCGATCGGTGATTTCTTTTTTTTAACTCATATAAAATTTTTATTGCTGTTTATATGACAAGATTTTATATCTAAAACAACGATACTCCAGGCATTTGGACACATGGTTTCCTTACATTGCACGTGACTCTGTTGTATACTTCTGTTTGTCGGCATTTTACTTAAGTAAGTAGAATTCATATTAGCCTTGATTTTAACACCTCATTGCTCATGAATAGTTCTCATTGTTTGCTGAAATGATGTTGCAATGTAAACAAATTGCTTTAAAATGAACTCAATCGTTAAGTTTACGAAAAAGATCAAAATTAGTATTGCAAATTTACTTAGAACGAGAGATTATTCGGCTAATTCGTGTACATATATATGTGTGTATAAATGTTTGCATAGTAAATAGATCAAACTCAAATTTCATTAAAGTCTCTATATGAAATTTAAAAAGCGTTGGCGCTACAACTGAGAGAGCTATCGTTTGTATACACTCAAAATGTATTATATAACTTTTCTTGAAGTAATTAAGCATTAAAAGTGCGCTGCTCAAAGATACACATATTTCTTGAAGTTAATGCATTAAATCTGCAACAAAAATAACTTAAAAATTTCAGGGAAATATATTGGTAATTGAAACATTTCATTAATTTGAATCCGTTTAGTTCTTTCTATAATACTCTTATACAATATTTTATGTTTTTATATACTAATGTTGCAATAATTAAAAAAAAATTTTTATCTTTTAAAATCAACCAAACTTAATGAAATTTTCCACTGGTGTTTGAGATATAATTTACAAAGTCTTGCACGAAGCATGTTTTTTTTGTTCAATTATAACTATTTTAAAAACAAAAAACGTTAAAATTTTTCATCAAAATTTGCATGTTTTGTAATTACAATTTTCACTTTATTTGTTTTTTCTCCGCCCAATACCTAGTTAATGGTCTTAGTTCGACCCCTTTTTTTTTGATTTTTTTTTGATGATCTTGTCAGAAGTTCTGCTGTCAACGCCGAAGCACCTTTTTCCGAGGGACTGCCGGAAATCACGTCGTAATGACCGAGTTTTGAATATTTTCCTTTGAAAATTTCATAAAATCTTTATCAAATATGTATCTTTGGAATAATAAGAAGTTTGAATAAAATATTTCACTTTTTATATGGAAAAAAATTATTGAAATTAGGGCGTTTTTTGCTCGACGAAACCCATGTAGCTCCTTAAGCAAGGTCTTTTTTGAACAGCCGGCTCGAATATTTTTTACATCCACTTATTTAATTATTCGCAAATTCGTGTGAAATGTTATATAAGTATGTCAATTTTTATACCTTTGATAGGGTATATTAAGTTTGTCTCGAAGTTTTTAACACGCCGTAGGAAACGTCGGAGACTCTATAAAGGAAAAACTCGTATATATATAAATGATCAGCATGATGAGCTGAGTAAATATACAACTACAACTGAGTAAATACGCCAACTGGTCTCTTAGTTTTTGCGATATCGAGTGGAAATTTTGTACCCGACTGGAATTTCTATCGGACCATGTTCACATAAAGCATAAAGTCATACAAACTGATCGATGAAATCAAGTCTTTGTATGGCAAGATATCTTCACGAAATCTGGCATAGATTATCACCCAAAACAATGGTACGATCTCAGATGGAACCACTATAGCATATAGCCGCCATTTTAACTGACCGAACAAAACCAAGATAAATATCTTCATAAAAGATCTATTTTGCTTGAATGTTATTTATATCAAACAACGTGGCTTGTTGGAACTAGCCAAATGTTTTCCACTTGATGCATACTGTTAGGTTAGGTTAGGTTAGGATGTCGATCCTAAGAAGGATCTCACTTGCACAGCTTAGAACACCGGTCCGTTGTGGTACCTAAAAAGTGCTATAAAGCTGGATCAAAAGACACTTACATATCGACAAAAAATGCAAACTGTTATTCGGTTACGTTTTCAGACTTAGTTATACAAATTGTTGCTTTATGAAATGCACGCGTGAAGGGTATTACAGCTTTCGAAGCTAATGCTTTTTCATGTTTTTTTTTAATGATGAATATTTTTGAAATATTTCCATAAGTTTTCAAAGCTGCTATTTTAAATTCAAACATAATCGCTCATCAAACTCGACTGAATGGTAAATATTAGCTAAATGTTCTATGTACAAGTATGTGTATAAATATGTACAATGCCTGCAAACTTTTTAATATTAGCAAAATGTTTTATATGTGAAAATAGATATATGCATGTACAATATATGCAAAATTTATATTGATAGTTGCATCTGGTAATATTCACTATAACACTTCGGAGCAATATTATACATTTTCACACTTACCTAATAGTACCCAAACAAGCGTTGTGGCAAGCGTACATACATACATCAACTTTTCAGTCTTGCAACAAAATTTTCATGCAATCTTTTCACATAAACGATTGAATGTGGTTTATGTCCGTGCCACAAGCGTTGGCTTTGCAGCTGCATAGAAAAACTTGGCTGAGATTCTCCGCAAATTACGCTGAGATTTGCTGCTGGAGTCGCTATTCGAATGCATATACATATGTATGTATAAAATCATACATATCGAAGTTCTACCGATTTGTTAATTTGCTAGTTTCTGCTGCTGCAACACCAAACAATATACATATGTATATACTCAAATGTTGGTTTTCGTGTGAGTCAAACATACAACTTCATTTAATGTAACTTCACTTAATGTAACACTGCATCCATATAAATGAACAAATGCAGATACATACATACATACGAGTATAAATGAATGCAACGAAGCCACTCACAAAGAGGCAGTAGATGGACTATGTTTCCGTCTTGCAAATTAGATTATGGTATTGACATAACTTATGCGCATATTATTTAGAAAACAATTTGAATTGCCAAAAAAAAAATGCTGCAAGCGTTTAAGTGTGAGAACACTTTATTTGCGAGCATTTACTTGCTCATAAGATTTAAGAGAGCTGTGCTCCGAAGTTGTTATATAAACATATAGGCGTTTGTGTAGAAATAAATTGACTTGTGCAACACCACACGGCTTTGTTTAGTGTCCATTCGCTGCACATTTCGTACTTCCATGCATTGTATTTATTTTACTTTTTCTCGCATTTTCACCACGTAATACAGCATTTCTAAATTATAAATAGCAAATATCGCATGCGTTAGCAGTGCAATCAAATGCACGAAGTTTTTATTATGGCCATCCTTGGCGAATTGTCAATATTTGTGGCTAAATTCCAACTGTTGATTAATTATAACCGGATAGTATTCCATACCTGCCATGCATGTGTTCGTACCCTGTAGGAAATTTTTCTCTGTACTCCATATATTATATTATATATTATTTTAAGAATTCAAGTTTATAACTTCTGTGTTTGTGCT